CAAACTAACAAAATACATACTCTTGTTTAACGCAAATTAAGGTTTATAAAACATACTCGCCTTTATCATAGCCACAAACAGTCCAAATACATACTCTACTTTAACTATTTTTAAGTCGAAAGAAACTTGCTCTCTTTTTCTTATAACAAAATCACTGTAAAACATACACTACTCTCAATCTCACCCATAGATATGTTAGGGCAACTTGACCCTTATGATTCAATTATTTACCACTCTACATTACATTTTCAATGAAAGTCACATATTATATTGAGATTTGTTTTCTTTTCAGGACATAATCTTCGTCTGGCCACGAGGAGTATTAAAGTGTGTAAATTCCAAACACGCACAACGCAGTCAATTCACTAGAAGATTGTATTAAACGGTTTTGGTTTTTTTCTCTGGACAACGTCACAACTGAACGACTCAAAGATGTTCATTGAAGATGATGAACAGTAAGTATAAAATTAATGATTGCATTTATTTTTATAATTTTTTGCCAAAAATCAATTTTTTTTAATCAGTTAACAACATGATATGAATGTCTGAAAATCGCGACCACAAAAAGTTGACAATGAAATATTGGTGTTCCTTTACATGTGCGCGTAAAATTTTCTTCTAAAATATCATCCCAAAATTGTGTCAAATCCGCTTTAATATCTCAGTTACAGGAATGAGCTGCTTTGAAAATATCTTGAGTACATTATTTAAAAAAAAAATTATTTCTTCTGTGAGTTCTAAGTTCGCTTGCACCGAATGTCGATCCTTCACCCCCTTTTTATGAGCATACATCGAAGTTATTTAATCCCCATAAATTCTATGGTTTCATATACCACCAAGTGAGTTTCATGGCTTACTCACCTGTGTGGCGCTAACTCATACAGTTTTCCCATTCAAGTCATGAACCACACAAAAAGGGGGAGAAAGAGAGGGAGAGAGAGAAGCGAACGAAACAGAAGATGTCATATTTTAGGAATTGGCAAACAACACATGAATGCAGTTCCGTTTTTGTGCAATTTCTACGCTCGATACTTACAATTAAACGCGACAAATATGTGATACTGGTTACGTTCAACGAGCAGTATTGCAGCAAGGGGAAAATGCTTAAACTAAAATTCGCTCTCAGCGTAAACGTCATTGAAAACATAACGTGGACGACAACGACGCTTTTCAGTGTGTGCATAATTCTTAGCCAGCTATGTTTTTCATTGCCTAGTTGTCCGTCTGTGTCTGTTTTAGTGTGATTTTTTTTAAGTTTGTACTAGTACGTTACGACATATCAAATCGTGTGTATACTTTTCTAACTCGTTTCGTACTTGTGTTTTCGGTTTTTTCTCTTTTAATTGACTCGGCTGAGTCGACTGACAGATAGACACGACACACGGCATTTTCCTTATAGGAAATCTAGCAGTCTATCAGTGTCACCGAACCAAGTGTGTTCAACAGAAGTCGGCATTATAAATCTTACCGATTTTCTCTGATAATCCCACTGTTGAAACGGCCGTTTGCTTTCAATCAAAAGTGAAATATTTTTAATTTTATTTTTCGTGAAAATTTCAGTATGGAAAGCCTTTGGGTTCAAACAGCGATCAGTGCAATTCGCGTTATTGCTTTCGTTTGTGATGTGATCACGTTTCCTGTATACTTAGTCCTGCAACAACCATGGAAACGGCGACAATTATCCAAACGGATCAGAGTAAGTATTCTTCCTCAGATTATTCGTTCATCAAAGAAGTTGAAAAGGTTTTCGTTCAGAAGTTGCCTAAACATTTTTACACCTCAATCGATCGAAATGAGAAAGGTTTTATTTTTTGGTACAAAGGTCGATGAAGTTTTAGTGCTAGCAACAGTGAGAGAAAAAATCTATCAAAGTGTTTAGTGTGCGATCCTTATCTGTTCGTGCTAACAATCATATATCAATTCAATCAATGAAATTTTGAAATGAAAAAAAATATCATTGATTAGTTTCGATTCGTTATGATCCATGACTTTATGCACCATGTACAATTAAGTCTAATGAACTATTTTCCGTTTTATTTTTGTATACTTTTTTCAAACCTAGGCTAAACCCATTTCGGCTGATGACAAGCAAATCACATACCGATCGGTAGAACCGCCACGTGAGATTCACGTAAAAATGGTGGCAGCGAATATTGATACTCTGGAAAAGGTTCGAATTTTGGCGATGATTTAAATTCCAAATAAAAGAAAATCCCTTTTTACATAAATATTTCTGTTTTGCGTTGAATAGATGTTGACTTATGTGGCAAAAATCCATACAAACAAAAAATGTCTGGGTACACGAGAAATTCTGAGTGAAGAAGACGAAGTCCAACCGAATGGTCGTGTTTTCAAAAAGTACAATATGGGAGATTACAAATGGCGCACGTTTACCGATGTCGAGAACTCAGCAACCAACTTTGGACGTGGAATACGCGAACTGGGCCAACAACCATTGAAGAATATTGTCATTTTTGCAGAGACTAGAGCTGAATGGATGATTGCTGCACACGGATGTTTCAAACAAAACATTCCAATTGTCACCATTTACGCAACTCTTGGCGACGAGGGGGTTATTCACGGTAAGCAGCTGAGAACGGCGGCGCGAAATGATTATATATACTTTTTCTCGTGATTTATTTTTTTCATATTTAAATCAAAGGTATCAATGAAACGGAGGCAACCATTGTCATTACAAGTCATGAATTGATGCCTAAATTCAAAACATTGCTGGCTAAACTACCAAAAGTGCAAACGCTCGTTTATATGGAAGATCAATTGAATAAAACGGAAACTGAAGGATTCAAAGAAGGTGTTCGCATTTTGTCATTCAATCAAGTGATTCGCATGGGCACCACCAGCAAAGCCGTCGCAACTCCACCAAACGCTGAAGATATTGCTATTATTATGTACACGTCAGGATCGACAGGAACACCCAAAGGAGTTTTGCTATCACATAAAAACTGTATTGCAACACTTAAAGCTTTCTCAGACGTTATCAAAGTCTATCCTGAAGATATTCTCATTGGGTATGTTGGGGAGTTAAAGATGAAACGATGTGAAAATTGGAATTTCATCTAATCATCATGTTTGAAATCATTTTAGATTCTTACCGTTGGCTCATGTTTTTGAACTTCTTGCTGAGAGCGTATGTCTCTTGACCGGGGTACCAATTGGATATTCAACACCCACCACTCTCATTGACACAAGCAGCAAAATTATGCGAGGTAGTAGGGGTGATGCTTCGGTGCTCAAGCCAACTTGTATGACTACTGTACCGGTATGTATTTGAACATTGTGAAACACACAACGATTTGCACTCTCGAAATTTCCTCGATATAATAAACTCTTTCCATTTCGTCCAACAGCTCATTTTAGATAGAATATCGAAAGGAATTAACGACAAAGTCAATAGCCAAGCACCATTGCAGAAAGCTATCTTCAAATTTGCATATGATTACAAAAAGATCTGGACACAGCGAGGCTATGAAACTCCAATTTTGGACAAGTGAGGATATTTTTCAATAAAAAATAATCTAGGTATATGAATGGTACTACGTAATACTAATGCGTTTTATTTTTTTGTTGTAACAGATTGATATTCAAGAAAATATCGAAATTGATGGGCGGACGTGTTCGCGTTATGTTGGCTGGCGGCGCTCCATTATCTCCAGATACTCACGAACAAATCAAACTGTGCTTGTGCACTGACGTCGTTCAAGGTTATGGACTCACAGAAACCACATCAGGGGCGACAGTCATGGACGCTAAAGACATACAATTCGGCCGCGTGGGTGGACCAACTACGATGTGTGACATTCGACTATGTACTTGGGAAGAGGGTGGCTATCGTGTTACGAACAAACCACATCCCCAAGGTGAAATTATCATTGGAGGTGACAGTGTATCGCGTGGATACTATAAATTAGAGAGGAAAACTACAGAAGACTTTTTTGACGAGGACGGCCGCAGATGGTTCAAGACCGGCGACATTGGTGAAGTTCATCCAGATGGTGTGCTGAAGATTATTGGTGAGTTTTACATCAAATCCTAATTACAGTCGATGGTTGATTGTAAACAAAAAATAATATATCGTAATTTTTTCAGATCGCAAGAAAGATTTGGTCAAATTGCAAGCTGGTGAATATGTTTCATTAGGCAAGGTTGAGGCTGAATTGAAGACCTGTTCAGTTGTTGAAAATATTTGCGTATACGGTGATCCATCGAAGCAATTCACCGTGGCATTAGTCGTACCAAATCCCAAACACTTAAAAGAACTAGCTATAAAACAAGGAGTACCCGATGCCGAATTCGAACAGTTGTGCTCATCACCCGTCATGGAGAAAGCAGTGATAAAAGAGTTGGCTGAACATGCACGCAAATGTAAGTTCATGTGATATAAATCAATGTATATAAGACAATTGTTAATGTTCTTTTATTTGCAATCGTAGGTAAATTACAAAAATTTGAGGTTCCAGCCGCTGTAACGCTGTGCAAGGAAGTGTGGTCACCCGATATGGGTCTCGTGACAGCTGCATTCAAACTCAAGCGAAAAGATATTCAAGATCGCTATCAACATGATATCAATCGAATGTATGCATCATGAACTTTGCACATAGGTTAGAGGCTTTAGAACGTCAAATAGACGAAAATACGTCGAGAATAAGTCTTAAAAAATTGCATAAAGAATGGAAAATAACAATATACACGTGAAAAGAAAACCGTCTCTCACAAACACACACATACACATAAAATGTATCACTAAAATGTTGTTGTATAGTTATTTGCGATTTAAAAAAAAAAAAACAAAAAATGAAGAAAAAATCGAATTGAAATTTGCTTAACAAAGAAAATGAGGAACAGCTATTGAAAACTTCCTGTGTACTGTTAGGAAACAAAAAAATAAAATATATTTATTTATATTTATTATGCTTTAATATGAGAGGTGAACGACTTGGGGGGAAATTGTTATCACTTCTGAAGATTTCTGGAATGTAATGGATTCCAAAATTATATGCATGATATTGTATTACATTCAAACTTTTTTTTCCGAATTGATCTGATTTGGATATATTTGGCCCAGTTTCTATATAATTGAGTCGTCGTCAGTGAATCGTCTTGATATATCTCTGCTTGCGACATACAAACACACACACACACACACACAAAATATAAGTAGTAAAACATTTTGAAAAATGTTTTCATTTGAATGATAAAATGAACAAATTCCCCAATTAGACATATGAATTGACGGCTTATATAGTATAAATGAAAAATCAATTTTCTGATTATTCTAACGTTAAATGAAATTAAATGATTAATAATTAATGAACGAACGAAACGAGATCACTCTTCGGTTTATTCGTTCACAATCAAATCACTTATACTAATCACTCACAAAAGCATCCATGTACTGTCCCAAAGAAAACAAAATGAAGAGCTAATTAAACTTAATTTAAATTTTAAATTTAATTTTATTGTTAAATCCAATTATTGTTACAATAGGTTTGTTTAGCAGGAAATTCAATAAAAAAAACACCCCAAAAATATAAACCTGACGTGAATAGAATTTATTTACGTTTATATTTCTCTGCGCTGAATCTTATCTGTCGTTTATGTTTGGCAAAATGGAAAATAAATCATGTAAATGTGAAGAAAAAAATCTGACTTAGACCATTTCAGATGGTTTGCATGGACAAATATTATTTCTAATAAGTATTTGCTAAAAAAAAATGCATATTGAAAATTCAAATTAAAAAAATGCGTATAAAATTCAAAATATGCTCCAAGAATCAATGTTTGAATTTTCTTTTGTATGGTAAACAATTTGTTTTGAGTTGAAAAAAAAGATATCGTGTAATAATTTTAATAAATGCAAAAAACTGATTGGTAAAATTAAAAAAGACTTAGTTTTTATTTCTTTCTTGGTTTAAAATAACAATACTTTTCTCTCAGTTATGTCGATTGAGAATACGGCGAACTCCTGAACTAATTTTGTTCTTGTCGTCCCCTTGGATATGAAACGTCAAATACAATCACCGATGCGGTGACAGCACACAACTACAACTGAAATGTCAAAACACATTTATTGCCACCTTTTGAAGAATGAATCCATTCTTGATTTTTTTTCTCACACGAAGCCGCCGAATTTATTGCTAGTTTTTGTTTTTTCAAATAAGTAATTGAGGTTTTGACCGTTTTTCTCATTTTTAACTAGAGTAGTTAAAACAAATATTAAAATACAAACCAATACACCAATGGCATACTGACTTTATATTGAAGTCGGCTAAATCGCGTGAAAAAGTTTTTGCCAAACCACAGTGTGAAAAAAAACTTCAACAGAGAGAGACCACAGAATGATTCAACATTTTACAAACTTTAATATCATAGCAATTGTACTTTTATTTGCTCATACAATTCGAGTAATATTTGCTGGAAGTAAGTATTTGACATAGATTTCAACACATGAAACATTTCCTTACGAAACATTTTTTTTTGTATTTCAAGTAAACAATTTACACACGTATGATGGCATTAAGACACATGATATCATAAACGGAGACATATTTTTTGAAGTTATTGAGCCGGAAGAATTGGAGTAATTTTTATAATGATTGTAAATGCAAAGGTCGAATTGATTTTCATTATTATATTTTAAAGGTATACTTACCGATTGAAACCAGCTAAAGATTTTGGAGGCACATTCACTCAGGATATCTTCAAACACAGGAAGCATAACTTTTTAGTATTTGCTGAACCACGTGAAGCATGTACACCGCTTGAAAATTCCGATCAATTGTATGGTAATATTCCATTCATATTACGTTACCCGTGTGCAAATAAAATGACTAACAGTCACTCAGTTGTATGTAACTGTATGTAGTGATGCACAACTAAAACTGGCTAAGTTGATTGAAATCATGCGTTTTGTATGGAGACAATCACGTTTAGTTATTCTTTCAGTCAGTCGACTAATTTGGGACATTTTGACTAAGAGTGATTTGTGATTAAAGTTAACTGACAACTAATAATCACTTTTAGTCAGTCAAAATGTCCCAAATTAATCGACTGAAGAGTCAGTCAAAAAATTTCCACACGGGTATATTGCTATTAATTTCATTTCTTCTTTCTGATTCTCCCCTTAGGTAATATTGCATTAATTGAACGCGGCGATTGTACGTTTGTAACGAAAGCCATCATGGCCGAAGAGGCTGGAGCCATTGGATTGATTATTACCGACACAAAAAGCGATTTGAATGACGATTTCTTCATTGAAATGGTGCACGACAATAGCTCAAGAGAGGTTGACATTCCTGCCGGATATTTATCAGGTCGAAATGGGCGAATGATTATTAATACACTGCATCGATATGGGTTAGATAGGGCAATTATCAAGGTACCGATAAATTTGACATTCACACCGCGTGAACTTATCAATCATCCGCCCTTTTATCCGCAATAAAAGCAAAAAGTTGTTACGAATTGAGAGAGATCGAGAGACATCAACAGAAATTTGTATGAAAATTTAGCAGCGTTACAATTGTGAATTTTTTTTTTAAACAATAACAAAAGCTAGTCAATTCAAAACAAAATATGTACCAATTGGAAAATGTAGAAAATGTCATAAATAAAGTTTTGTTACGATAACATCTTCTATTACTAAATTGCATATGGCCTTTTTAATGTGTATTTGTTTGTGTATTGAACGGACTCATTGATAGAATTGTTTTGTTTGTACGCTTGTGCCGCTCCAGAAAATAGGTCTAGGAGAAATAGTAAAACTATTGGTTTGTTGTGGTCGATTGTGATTTTTGATTACAAATACACGTTGAAAGAAATAAAATCGTGAACATGACGATATGTAAACAAATAACCGTGTTAATATTCCTTGTAAATGGTTACAACGCAAATTTTATTCTGGATTTACACGCAAATGTACAGCCATATAATGTACTGCCAAGGTTTTGGACACAAACGGGTTTATCGCCATCCGCTCCATTTCCATTCAATCGAACAGATGTTGCTCAGCAATTGCTGAGTGAAAATATGTACCGGAATATGGAACTCATTTCAGCTCTGCCAAACGGTGCCATCAAACATATTCGCATACACTGGTTGCTCTCATTGATCGATTTCAAGTAAATCAAGTAGCTGCTATTGTGTGCACTGCACTCTCATATTGATATTGATTTTAAATTGTTTCTTTTCTGCAAGGGGGTTTGACGCAAACAAAATTCCTACATATGATTTCAGCGCTTTAGATAGATTTCTCGATCATTTGATGGAGATAAAATTGTTTCCAGTTATTGAATTTATGGGCGACATTTTTCCAAAAAATGAATTCCATGACTTTCGATTCATGTGGAAGGATTTCACGTATCAATTTGCGTGGCATTACTTATGTACGTTACGTTACATGATTTGTTGGCAGAAATTAGATTATATCAAGATTACATTTATTTTTTCAGCAAGATATGGACAAATAAAATTATTAAACTTTCGATTTGAGCTGTGGAACGAACCAGATCTTTTAACGTACAACATCCTTAATCTAACATTAATCGGTACAATTCTTGGCATTTAAATTGCATTTTAAGCGATATATTGTAGTATAGTAATGATTATCATTTCTAACGATAGAATATTTGGATTATGCGCATGGAGTGGCCAGTGGATTGGAAGCGGCTTCTCGTCGAATGAACCCAGTAAGCAAAATCCCTTTGAGAGGTCCTGCCGGTTTGTTCAAGTCTTTTGAAAAGCACCAACTTTGCTATGGATTATTAGCCCACTGCTCTGCCAATGAATCACTTTGTCCAATCGACATAATCACATTTCATCGAAAGGGAATCAACAGTCCAAATGATATTTTAATAGAAACAATCAAATTATTGGAACTTTTCCGCACAAAATACCCGAATCTAGTGCATATGCCGTTTGCAAACACCGAGGCTGACCCAACGTCCGGCTGGTCAAAGAATGTGACGTCATATGCTGATGTGCACTATGCTCATATGCTTGTGTCAATTGTTTTGCAACATTGGAATTCATTTATAAAAGGACCATTGAAGCAGCTCGATTCGATTAGCCATGATAACTCATTCCTTAGCTATCACCCGTTTGAGTTTGAGCAACGAACTATGCTGGCTAGATTTGTAATGAACAATACGAAGGCAGTACATTTCATTCAGAAGCCAGTTTATGCAGCATTGGGAATGCTTAGCTCTTTGGCTAACACTGCAACCCCGATGGAAATTAAGAGTAATGTCAGTTATGTTCTTTCACTGGGTGATCTGTATGCAGCAGTTCTACTGTCGAGTACTAAGCATAATCAAGAGGATCATATTGAAATCAAATTCGATGACTGGCACAGTTTGTCGGATATAAATTTCGCATACTTTGCTGAATTTTTGGATCAAAGTCGAACAAATCCGTTTGCTGTGTGGACAAAATACAACCGACCGGCTTATCCAAACGAAACGGTTCTCACCGAAATGATGCATGCACAGGTGCGCATTTGTTACTCTGAAGGCCTATCTGCACTTCGATGACGAAATTTCTTTTTCTTTCCAATTAAAAAAGGTCCATCCTAATCTATCGATTGTTAACTACAAGAATGTTCTTTTCGCCTTGACGTTATTTTCAACCAAACAAAATGAAAAATTCCAAAACTAAAATTTGGTCACTCCAAAAAAATGAGTCATCATCGAAGTGCAGATTAGCTTTAAATGAAGTCACTTTCTGAATACAATGAATATAATGTGTATGTGACTGTTTCAGGGACCGCACATATTGCAAAACCCAAAAATCATCATGCAGCTATCCGCAAAATTCACTGTAAAGCTGAGCCATCCTTGGGTTATTTTAGTTCGCATTTGTGCATCGTCGATACCTTCACCATCAAAAGTGAAAAATATTCGATTTCATTCAATTGACAAAGACACAATATTGATCTTATGGCATGATCACGAGTATGCGAATTATGAGCGCTGCATCCGAACCTATGAAATTTTCTATGCACCTGCTGTCGAAGTTGCAAGAAATAGCAACAGTTCTCAAATATCACAATGGGAATTGATAACACTCAATAAGCATATTCCATACATGTCGTATTGTCATCGAGTCACCCTTCCAAATGAACGATTAGAAGGTATGGAATTTTCAGTCATACCGTATTTTTTACATACACTATTAATATTAAAATGGTTTTTTTTTTCTAATTCAATTCAGGATACTATAAGGTTCGAGCAGTCGATATTTTTGGCCGATTCAGTGAATTTTCGAAAGTCAAGAAGTTCAACGGATAAAAAGAGAATCACTCTCAAATGAAAATTTTGAACAACTTTATTCGTAAATTTCAAGAAAATCACCAATTCTTTTGGATTGTAATGAATGTTTGTAGTGATAATATATGTTGGATGCTCAACGTGTTATCATCTTAAATTGAAATTATCAGAGTAAAATTTTTTTTTTGTCGAATCATTTACTGTACGCGCTAGATTTGTGCTTCTGTCAAAACTACATCGAATGTTTTCAATGAAAATCTCTGTCGTTTGTACAACTCATTGTCACAACACAGTGACTACTGTGTTCAAAGAGAGGTAATGTAGTTTTTGTTTCATTTCTGCGGCTGTCATCAGACACGACATGTTTTTAGATTTGGATCATATCATTTGGTGATTCAATGTTTCCATTGCTTGAATACATAAACGTACAATTGCAACAATTTTTGTGGTCACTTTGAACAAAAACCCAAAGGGCAAATATAAAAAAAAACTTGACCGATTACTAATGCTCCATTATCATGTGTTTTTTCTTCTTACTCAATGAATTTGGTGTTGCTCGTTTTTCATTAAGAACTTAGGTTGACTTTGATTAGTCGATGTTTTGTGTATTCTAACGTTCCACCAAAAATTTCTCTTCTCGTGCAATCGTCGTATTCTAACGTGTCTCGACCAATCTATCAATGGTTCCTTTGTTGAATATTCAAATAAATTTTTGATATAAAAAAAAAAACAAAAATAAAGCAAATAAAGAAAAAAAGGAATTGCTCTTTGGAATATTTTCGATGTTAATTTTTTACATTTTCTAGATTCAACATGTACGTCTTGTGTTAGTTTTGTAAATGAGTTTATTGATTTTATTAACGGAAAATGAATACAAGCTCCGAGGAATCGTTGATTAGTGTGCAAAATAATGGAAGTCAACGTGCATCGACACCAGATTTAGTTCGATTAGACACTGAGAATCTCGGTGAAATTATCGTAGGTGGTCTCATTTTTCATCAGTGCTAAAATATTCATTCGAATTTTGATTACAATGAATTGAGACGCAACATCAAATTGTGATTATGAATTGCATTGCTTTCTTTATACGTCAAATTCCCAATTAATTATATTGTATGAAGGTCAAAAGCATCGATAAGAGACAATGTTTGTTACTTTATTTTTAGATTGATTTGGCGGATGCGGAGCCAACGTCTGCGATCCTGAATTTTTGTCAACGCAAGGTGCGCTTTCAACTCTCAACTCTCAACTCATGTGTTAAACAAACAATTTTGTATAATTTTTCCGGTATTTTACTGTCGAAAAATGTAACAATTTTACAAAATCTCCCTTTTTTGAATGCCTGGAAAGGGAGTATTTGAGTTGATAATTGTTCCTTGGGTACTCTCAGTCATTTTGGCTAGTAACGTATTTAATTTTTTTCTTTTTTGCAGTTTTTGTTGCCATATGTTAATATATTGGGCTTGGTGGGCCTGCGCCCAATCACAATCGACACATCCGATTTGGTTGCTTATTTAGGCCACATTCAAACTGTGTTCATAGTCGTTGTTCTAACCACTGGATATTTCATACAGTACTTCTCGTACTTTCGGTAAGCATCGCAACGAGAAAAAAAAGAAAAAAAAGTAGCAACGTTTGATTCAAAGGGTATTGTTTTCAGCCGAGATCGTGGATTCACGAATACAACATATCCACCGATTGAACCGCCTTTGGAATTTTACACACCGCGTCAGGTTACGGTATATTATGGCGAAACGATATTTGTCTATGGAGTATCAAGCATTCTACATTTTTGCGGCGTTTTAACGAGCATGTATGTATTTCGAATAGCCGACAATGAGCAGCTTCAAAATTTGGTTGAACGTGTCTTCATTTTGCATAACATTCCCAACAAATTGATCTACATTTTATGGTCACACATTGGGCGCGGTTTGCTCTGGTTAACTGTTATGACCATACACTTAATCGTAATGGAAGACGATAACATTGACGTTTTGAAAATCGTTTGGTTCGGCAAACCAACCCCACACACACAAACTATTGCCAAACTTCTGCTCATCGTGGCCACTTTTGCTCAAGATCTCATACAAGTGATCGTTTTAACGAGTTACTCGCTACAATGCTTTTTACTTCGACGTTATATTTCCATATTAAAAGAAAAACTGCTGCAGAATACCATTGATTCGTTGGATTGGATGCGGGTGAGTTCTATCTTCAAATTTCATCTGCAACTAAAATGATTGGTTGAATATTGAATTTGCTTTTCTTCAAACTAGGAAATGTCTGAATTTCGGAAGCTTTTGTCACATCTCAACACAAAAATGGCAATACCAGTGTGCCTCTTTACTATACTGAACTTAGCCTATACTTTTTCTGCAATCATCTATTTTATTCGAATTTACAATCAATTTACAAGCAACAAAATCGTTATAATGGCACTCATAAATATTTTGCTGTGGCTCATCTTGGGCCTGTATCCATTCTTCCAAGTAAGTGGCGCAAATGAATTGTCCGCTTTAAGAAATGGTTTTATGTTTTTGTTTTTGAATTCGGTAGGCAGCAGCTTTAACGTATGCTTGTGAATCGGCACAAACTTGCGGTCATCAAGTTCGAATCAAACCGTATGTGCACTACAATACATCTCTAGAGGAGCTCAACTCAATTCTTCTGTATGCATCATCACTACGAATGAGTGCAAAGCTATATCGAATGCCAATCCATGGAGGCTATGTATTTTTTATCATCTTGTGCATCGTTGTATCGACACTTACTTTTGGAATGTGCCTAAATATTTCGCTAGGGATTATTCAACCGTAATTCAGTTTCACAATAAAACCAAAAATGAATTGAATCGCTCATTAAATCTACATTTATTTCAATATTTCTATTCGCATTTATTCAGTGGGAAGTTCTAAATTCTTATCACTAAGTCGAATCATAATTACAAAAAAAAGAGAATGTTATTCACTTCAATTGGTGCACTTTTTGCATCACACATCGTCCAATCTGGGCTTTTTGAATTTTGGCTCAGGCAATGTTACTGTTCGACGGTGTGTTTTCGATTGGAATTTTCGCTCAATTGTTTTCTTCACGTTTCCATAGTAGGCAGTCATGTCTTCATCCGTTACGTCTTTCTTAACATTCTGGTCGATGGTCGCTTGTTTGGCTTGCTCTTCCAATTCTAAGATGCGTTCAATATCTGGATTCATTCCGCGGAAACTGAATCGGCCGTCGTTGAGGTCTTCGCATGGCACGTAACTCGGCTCAATAATGTAATAACTCTCACTTTTCAGCATCTTCTCTGTTATCTCATTGGAATACATGGCTCTACTTTGGGCATCATCTTCTTCCTTTAAAACCTTCTCTTTGGTGCGTTTCATGAACTTCATGTCTAAAATACTTTTGGATAATTTCACTTTATTCCGTTCCGATGACATTTTTGATTGCTTTTTCTTTGTGTTTGTAGCCTTTTGAATGATTTAAATTAATCGCTTTGGATTTAGAATCAGCGGCTGTTAGAGATGAATATTGTAACCAACTTTCCGACGAGATATTGTAACAACACGGTGTGTATTGACAACGATCGCTTTGACAGTAAGATTAAACACATGTGCGAATGAGAATTCACACTGTATTCAGATTGTTGTCAAAAACTACCGACTTCGCACTTTTTGAACAATTTTGGAATTTTTCAAATCGTTAATTTGATTTTTATAAAAATAAATTAAGCGTAAAAATTTAAATAAGGCGTAAAATAAGTTAATCAAGTAAATAAAATCTTTTAGCATGAAATATTCCATGAAAATCAATCATTTTCACGGATCGAATGCAGCACGGCAGAATTATCGGCAATGAAGATTTCATTTGACGGTCGAAGTGTTTTCAACAGTTTGACATTCCGAAGTATGATTTCATTGCGATGATGACATTTCTTAATCAACAGTCCAAAATAAACTCTAGACTCATATATACTATCGGGGCTTTGTTTAACTACATAACTACTTGTTTGCACTTGACGACGTATTAAATAATCATTCATATTTCAATATATTCAAATTTAAATAGTATAGCATCGCAATGTTTAATCGCAACAAAAAAACGGCTGATCCAAAACGGAAACATGATTTATCACAGGTAAAGGTTTACGTTAATTTCGGAAAAAATATTAAGATTTTCCATTGTGTGAAGAAAAAAAAACAAACAACACAACGCTATGAGTCATAGTCTATTTTACGGATGAATAACAATTTCTGTGGTTTTGTGCATGTAAAATTAACATTGTGGTAAGAGTTTTTTTTTTAATTTTTCAAATCCTGTTTTATTCGGAATTAGTTTGGGATTTTTGATGTGCCCGACCCAGACAATCAGGAAGATGACAACGGTGGTGATAGTGACTTTGAAGCTGAGCTAGCTGCAATTACGGCTGGCGAAAAGAAAACCAGACCAAAACCCAAACCAAAAGCCATACCACAAAGTGATTTGGATAAAATGGTTGCAGAGAGTCTACGAGATATAGGTTCGTAGTTTTATTACAGCTGCGATATTCAAAAACATTGATATTTTTTTTATTGAACTAAAGGTTCGGATGAGGAACTGTCAGGCGATGATGAGGATCCGGATTTATTGAATGAACTTAGTGAGATTACTGGTAATGAAGTAGAAGATGATGCAACGCCAACAGAAACTTCACCTCCGGTGGCTGTGCAAACACAACCTATTCCGGATGTTTCTCCACCGAATTCGGATGAACCAATTCTTCCGACAACAACAATGGATACCGTTGAACTGCTCAAAAGTCGCATTGAGATGTACAAGATGGCGGAAAAGATTGCAAAAGAAAGTGGTGACAGCACTCGTGCCCGTTCTCGTGGCCGAGGTGTTAAAAGTTTAGAGTCAATGTTGAAGCAAGCATTAGCTGGAAAAACGATTAACCCAGACGATATACCACCAGTCGTTTCAACAAAAGCCCCAAACGCACCACCTACCGCCGTTTCGGTTACACCTTCGGAACCGCCAGCAATTGCACAAGATACTCCAACACAACAGCCAGAAGCCGCAGCTGAGCCAAGTGCCCCCGATGCAGCTAAAGCAACTCCTGCAGTGAATGAAACAAAAATCAATGCTCTGTTGGAGAGACAGCGAGAATATAAAATGGCAGCTCTAACGGCTAAGAAGTCAGGCGATACAGCTACCGCACTCCAGTACGTGAAAATATCAAAAATATTCGATACAGTATTAGCGTCAGCTCGGAATGGAGATGCAGTTGATTTAAGCGATATGCCCCCACCTCCGAGTGAGCTACCGAGTGATATGTTGAAAGCTGTTGGAGAACCGCAAGCGCCAACACCACCATCGCCACCGAAAGAAGAAAATACAGTGCAACAAGCGCTTGATGAGAATAAAGGTGACGAACAGCCGGCCGCTGTGCCAGCTCCAAAGCCCAAACCAATTGAGCTGCCTCCACCAGAAGTGCCTAAAACTATTTTAGAAGCATTGACGCAACGACTTCAAAAGTATCAGGCGGTTGAAGCGAACGCAAAAGCTGAGGGAAATGATCGCAAAGCACGACAAAATGGTCGAATCGTGAAACAATATCTGGATGCAATCAAAGCGCACAAAGCAGGCAGACCAGTCAATTTTGAAGAGCTACCAGCTCCACCCGGATATCCACCAATACCCTCAACATCAGCGCCTGCACCAGCACCAGCTCCTGCACCCAGACCTACCCCTGGACCACCTACACCGCCAGAATCAGGTGATCAGAGTCCAGAAAATTCATCACCGAAAAAGTCTCCAATGAAGCGACAAGACTCGCGAGTCAGCGGCAATCACTCCAACACGAGCGTTATGAACAAAACAATTGAAATACTGCTCGAGCGACAACGAGATTTCAAAGAGGCCGCTCTTGAAGCTAAGAAGGCCGGCGAAATAGAAGAAGCAAAGGAATTTTTAAAAACATTCAAAGGAATTGATAATTTATTAAACGTGGCCAGAGGTGGACTACCAGTTGACCTCTCATCGGTTAGTATGCAGAAAATGTTGCATAAATAGATAGATATTTTTAAACTCAATTTTTAAAATTTCATATTTAGCTGCCAATTTCACCGAAACAACGAGAAAAACTTAACGACACATTCGAAATGCTTAGCGACTCCGAGGACGATGCGGCGACGCCGACGTCGACTTCTGGTGATCTAAAAGAGCTGTACGATCGTTTAGAAAAACAGTTGACAAAACAACTAGAAAAATGCAAAACATGGAGGTAGTCAGACACATGCTCATTTAGCGTTAATTTGGGTGTTTAATCATAAATTATTTTCATGTGATAGTGTTCATCATCGAGCTCTGGGCGATGTGGCTGGAACAAATCGATTCGAAAACTTAGCAGTATCTGTACAACACGATCTGGACATAGTTAAACTGGCTCATCGAAAAGGAGGCAAAGTACCGAAATTTCGCTTTGATCAGAAAAATTTCAACATCGTCAAATGCAATGTGGATTTGGCCGAAACAGAGTTGGAGATCGAAGTGGTGCGAGGTATTGGCTACAATGTATCAAAACCAAAAGATGTAGATACTTATGTTAAAGTCGAATTTCCATATCCTCAGGTAATTTTAGCAGACATCCCACATAATGATACAGTTCTTTGTTAATCATGATTTAATTTGTTTGTGTGTCAATCAGGAAACTCCATATCGGAATAAAACTGCAGTCATTTACGACACCGATAGCCCAGATTATAATGAAAAGTTTGTCGCGGAAATCCAACCAAAAGCGAGATTATGTCAACGTGTGTTCAAGCGCCATGGCATCAAATTTGAAGTCTACATCAAAGGGTAGGTGTAAAAATCCTTTTGTTCAAAACTAAAATCGGTATTGTACGTATCTTTTGGGGGACGGTACAAAGAATATGTTGTATTTAATGAGTACTTAGTTCATGGCATAATGAATGGATAAGGTATTGCATGAGGAAGAGCACATGTCAATATTAGTTTGCAAATGATTTGCACAACAAAAACCACACGATTATGTAAATATGCAGAATGTATAAATTCAATTGATAATCACAATGCAAATCGAGTTTAGTACTTTTTGATTCATGATTCTTACACAGCAAGGACTTATTAATCCACTTTCTATTGTGTCCAAAATTCAATTTCTATCGTGTATTGTATTTATTTTATTTGAGTATAAATATTTCTTTTTTAATATTTTGAATACACTTGAGCTAACACAGATTTGAAAAACTTTAGCAACGCCTATTCAATTGCATCTTTTATAAAATATCAGCAACTCATTTACGTCAGAGACGAATTTATGAAGAAAAATTCATTAACCAGATAATTGATTAGAATCAATTTGTTAATAATTATTAACAACAAATAATACTTTTCTATTAGTAGTATCACATGAAATTATCACACTGCTCATTGGATGCTTTTGTTCCTCTTTTGTTGTAGTTGTTCATTTTTTTTTTTAAATTGAATTTTCAAAATCAAAATTATTAAAAATGAAAGAATCACAAATCAAAAATATTTAACGTGGTCATCAAATAGATGTTCATGCTGTTCTGTTAGCCATCTGTTGCCATGTACGTGTAACACAAATCTATTGTGTTGTTTTAGTGGATTTCTTCGATCCGACACCTTGGTTGGAACGGTGAATGTGAAGCTGCAACCATTGGAAACGACATGCGAGATTCATGATTCATTCGATGTAAGTAGCTATAAATGTGTCACTACTTCCCTATTTTTCATGATCTTATTTGAACTTACAGTTGATGGATGGCCGAAAAACGGTTGGCGGAAAGCTAGAGGTGAAGATACGGATTCGAAATCCGATTTTAACCAAGCAAGTGGTCAACGAAAGTGAAAAATGGCTTGTTCTCGAATGAAATCCGAATGACCCGGTGCAACTTGGTGAAAATAATTTAATGAAATTGGATTATGATATGAGCTGTCATTCTGATTTTAAGCATTTTATTCTTAAAGAAATTCATATGTTGTTTGGCAATTAATGTAATAGTTATTAATAAAAACACGAAAGAGATATTTTTCTGTTGAAATTGTGTATTTGTTTTGTAAGAAAGGAAGAAAATAACATGATAAGGAGAATGATATTATAAAGTAAAATCTACCACTCATCTAAGTCTAAGTCCTTTACAATATCAATGCCGTCATCGACAAAACTATCGTTGTCGCTATCGTCTGCAGCGTTGTTGGCAATTGGTTTCGGTTGTTCTGGTTTTTGTTTCTTGGACTTTTTCTTTTTCGGTTGTTTTTCCACTTCAAGTTCTTCTTCGTCCTCGTCTGATGGGAAGAGATCGACTGGCCCATCGGATTTTTCTTCACTACCATTTTCCTTTGATTTGCGTTTTAGCACCTTGGGCAATTCGTATTCATCCATATTTTCTGATGTGGTAGCCCGACGTTTTTGCACAGCCACATTTGTATTGAACCAATTTTCGTAGTACGTCAACAATGGCGTACCCTTATTGCGTAATTGTGTTTCCCATGCATTGATTGAGGCGGTGTCATGGAGTTCAAATGTAAACCTGCCCCGTTCGGAAACCACATATTTGGAGTTTTCTACCATTTTATCGACAAGCAACTTGAGTTTGCTACGGTAGTTGGCATTGATATTTTTACCATGTTTAAGATAGTGTTTGAGTTGAATGATTGCTGGCACGGCCAGATCGGGATAGCTAATTGTATGTGATTCTTGGGCCATGTACTCCAGAGTGCAGCCAACAATGCTTTCAATCACCTCATCACGAAAACCATTCTCTTGCAATTGATTTTGGCTAAGACGCAAAATGCATGTGAATGACAGTGGCTTCATTGACACTTTCGAATGGCGCTGATTAAATGTGTTTGACTTGAGGACTTCCAAAATAAATGGAAGCACTGGAATAAAGGTGCGTGTCTCTTTCGATAACTGTATAAGCGACCGGATGCAATGGAAACGCAATGGGAAATATTGTGCCGTCGGTATAAGTTTGATGGTCCCTGTGATGATGCTCACCAATGGGTAGATCAACGGCTGTAGTTGGGCTTTGTCGCTGGTCGTTGCAAGCAGCTCGGACCACAAACGAATCGAATTGATATATTGCCAATTGTAAACGGCTTGGTAACTTTCTTTCTTCTTCAAAGTCATTGCATTTCGCAGATGAATTGCCAATTGACGAATGTACAAGAACACGTGCTGATACGATACATTCAGATCAAGTGCAAACATTTCACTGAGTGAACGTCGCATGAAATTAATGGCCGGCAACGTATTCGGGCTCACGAACTTGGAGTTTCGAACATATGATAGATACATTGCCTTTAGAACCGTACTCAAAACAGTCATCTGTTGGCTGCGAGTGATCCGAAGTATGCACAAGAAGGCAAGTACACGCACAGTCTCCTCACCGGTACTCCAAATAGTGACGAGGCGCTTCAGAATCGGTTTCAACAGCGATGTGAACGATGTGATCATTGGAATCGACTGATGGATATGCTTCAACAAAACCACCAATATATTTGCCGATGACACTTGCTCCAATAATTTCGTAATATCGGTGAAATATCCACGCAACGCACTCTTGATTTTATTCCATTTTTTGCATTTGTGTGGTTGCAATGCGGTCTTCTGATGCAAGCCCAAAAAACGACGAATTGCCGGTTCGAGATGCAATACACACAATTGCACAACACCATTGAATGCTGCCGCACCTTCAACTTGATACGCTTTGACCGAAGCATCATTCTCGCCGGCCAGTGTTAAGAGCGTTGAATTCAATGCCAAAATTACATTTTTGATTACGTCCAATGGCACACGATCTTGAGCCAATTCACCTTGCCATTGCTTTAGCAGCTTCAATGTAATGGAGTTATCTTTTCTTGCGGTGTTATTCTCATCTTCGAAATCACTCTCATCACTAGCCACATCCAATTGAGCCAATGGCCGGTGCACACGTTCTTCATCATCGCTTTCTTCATTTTCGTTTTCGTCATCGTCATCGTTTTTCTCGGACTCACTTTCCACATTGTTTTCCTCACCATCATCAACATCTGGGTTGAATTTTAGTAGTTTTTTGTCATTTTGCTCCAGGAACTAATGTAAAATATGGAAATATTCGCTTAGCGTATGTTCATTTCGTGAGTATAGTGCACATTATTTACCTTATAAAACTCAGGATCAATTTCCTTTAGTTTATCCAACGATGCACCATAGTCTTCAGCGTCCGATCCATCATCACTAGTTTGCTTCTTCGACTTCTTTTTTTTTACTTTTCCATTTTTGGCTACCTTTTCGAGTTTCTCTGAAGAATTTTTAGCTACTTTTCCAGATTTCTCTGACAAATTTTTAACTTTTTTCCCTTTATCCTTCTTTTTCTGCGGTACAACCTCGTTGTTTGCGGCATCTGACAAATCATCCTCAGCCCAATTTGGCTTTGTGACCGTCTTTTTGCTTTCTACTTTCTTCACCTTCATTGTTTCGTCTATGAGTAAAACTTCAAAATCAACTGAACAATAACAACCAAATGGTGAATTTCCTAAAAGATTCAATTTAGCGCTCGGGTTTTATTTATTAACGAAGAATGTAATCGCTTGACTGAATCGAAGGGAATTCACATTTAGACGAAAACGTGCTTTTCAATGTGTGTTCATTGCTTACACTTTTTTGACAGTTCTCATCGACAAGACTTGTTGGTAATGCAGTCACATCACTCGCACATGTGAAGGGTTGTCCATGGTTGAAGTGTCAAAACTGTCTGTTTTGTTATTGTTCAATAAGAACGAACAAAGAGAGAGAAAAAAATTCAAGAGAATACCATGCAATCGTTTTTAAAATCGAAACATTGCCATCGGCGAGATTTCATAGCCCGTGTTGTTTACTTATTCGAAAGGCAAAATCACCATTCGACCATTGATACCAATGATGTAGAACATCACTCGAAATTAGCAGACGGATGGTGGGATCCCCAAGGCCCGGTTGCACCACTTCATTCGCTAAATAGAATTCGGTATATTGGAGAACAAAGCCGAAGATTATTTACACATGAAAAATAAAATCAAATCATTTGCTGTTCTTATTTCAGGGTACCTTTTATTCGTGATGGATTAATTGCAACCAGTCGAAACACCAAAGATGAAATAAATTCAGCAAAACCATTGGAAAATATCAAGATCCTTGAAATTGGTTGTGGTGCTGGAATTTTGACTGAGGTTTGTATACTACGGCTTTCCATTCGAAAATAATAAGAGTGTACCGATACCTATGTCCATAGAAAGTAACGATTTTTTCATTTCAGCAATTGGCGCGTATTCATGCAAATGTTGTTGCAATTGATCCCAGCAATGTATTAATCCAAACAGCACAAAATCATTTACTCAAATATCCGACAAATAATGAATTAACTTCACGAATTGAATACCGCACAGAAACGATTGAAGAGCACAATTCTAAAACGGAAACAAAATATGATGCGGTTGTTGTATCCGAAGTGCTGGAGCATGTTGATGATAAGGAATCATTCCTTAAGTCATGTACAGCTCCACTTCTTCCAGGCGGCTCAATATTTATTACGACTTTCAACAAAACTACATTGGCATGGCTTGGTGGCATTATCTGCGCCGAATATATACTCAATATGATTCCACGAGGTACACACGATTGGAATAAATTTATTCCACCCGCAGAAACGCAACGGTTATTAGAACAATGTATGTAAACTGAATCGCATATTTATATTCTGGAATCTGTAGTATTTTTTTGTTTGTTCCAACATAGGTGGTTGTTCAACGGTCCTTTGCAATGGATTTTTGTTTGAATTCTGGAGAAAACAATGGGTCTGGACAAAACACAATCAATTTTCATATGCATTGCATGCGGTGAAATCATAAATTGATATTTATCCGATAAATAATAGCCAATGTCTTACTATCCACTTTTTGTCACCAAATAAAAGATTTTTTTAGATACTCGTGTACATTCAGTGGGGGAGATTTGAATAGGCTTCCTATCGAATTCAACGTATTGATTCAATCCAGTCAAGAAAAATTATTGAGAATAATCGTTATTACATATAATGTGCGCCACGACATCAAGCCAGAAATGTCCATATTTGAGGGACTTATTGACCAAAAGTCGATTGTTCGAGAGTTGAAATCGAACCAATCGAATATGAGGCTAGTACTATGTGAAAACATCACTTGACTTGGTCACATTATTTTGAATCGAATGTGATCATAAATCGATTCTTCGTTAAAAATGAAGTAGAAACAGCGCATTACACGTTTCAAAAATTGAACTTTAAAAGTACGTTTGCCGAATATATCCAGAAAAAATTGAAAAAATGTCGATTTTTTGGTATTTTTCCCATTATCTATACTGGTATGCACTTTATGTACTAGATGTCTTGACAAATATTATGAATTTTGGTGCTAGAAATAAAACCCAACTTGCCGTTTTCCGTTCAAAAGTCTTATTTCATCGAATTTTTTATGTTTGAAACATTCGTTTTTTATTCGGGCCGAGGGTGCCGGAACCATCCCATTCTTATTTTTTCTCGATGAATTTTTAGAATCGCGACGGGAATGGTGGAAAATTGAATCTTTTGCAATTTGAACCGCCCTAGTAATCATTGATCGATGTTGGAGTATTTGTACCGTTTGAACGAATCAAATGTGGTCATTAGTTTGACAAAACATTTCTCTATATTCGTAGACATTCCTATATAAAATGTGATTCTAATTTATGGCAAGTACGAAGAAAAATGAATTCTTATGAATAAATAAAAAGAATTACATTGGTAATCCCAAACTTTTCCGTACCGTTGGCCTGCGTTGTCCGTAGGTACTTTTGGTTATTTTTTGTGAATTTTCTTGAAATAAAGGCAGTGAAAATATAATAATGAAAATAAAGTGAAAAATCGGTCACTTTAACTAAAACTTCGACAATTCTGTGTGAGAGGTACCCGAAAACCGATCCTCATTGGCTTTAAACTTTCTGAGGTTTAATTTTTTGGAGAAAAAAATAAGATTCTGAAAGTTTCATCTTGATGGCATTTGCAGAAGTTTGGTTTTGGCCCTCAAAATTTTCCAAGAAAATTTCGACAAAAATTGAGGACAAAAAATCAAACTTCTGCAAATGCGATCAACATGAAACTTTCAGAATCTTATTTTTTCTCCAAAAAAAGAAAATCCCAGAAAGTTTGAAGCCAATCGGAGTCGATTTACAGGTACCTCCCATACAAAAGTGTCAATTTTTTGAGGTTTTTCTTAGGGCAAGTACCCCAGGGTCAAATCGAAAATGGCTCATCTTCGAACTTAAACTAAGTTTTTTGGATACAAAACTTTTGGCATTTCCAGATTTTGATTATCTCAATTATTTTTTGAGTTATCGTGTTAACAAACACCAACGACAACGACGACAACGACGACGGCACACGAACGGAAAAGTGTCTCAAAAAGTGATTTTATACACGTTTCATGAGTTTTTATGATGATCTAAGCTAATTTTGCGAAAAAAAAATTCGGGACCAATTCCTATACTTTCCCTTGACACGTTGTGTACGGAAAAGTAAAACACTAGTGATTGAGTTGATGATTTAATTGTTGTATTTATTGAAATTTAATATTATTGAGTTATTTTCTTTAAGCGTCTGGAAATGGTTGCTTGTGTAACTCCCAATGATTCTGCAAGCTCTTCTTGCGTTTGGCACGAGTCTCCTTCGATCAGTAACTCCAATTCGGGATCCTCGAACTTTTTGGGCTGGCCGGTCCGCTCTTTGTCTTTGACATCAAAATCGCCCTTTTTAAAACGCGCAAACCAATATTGGCACACTCTAACCTCTGGAGCATATGCAGGGTATGCTTCCGATAACAATTGATGGGCTTCGGTGGCCTTTTTCTTTAAATGAAACAGGAAAAGCAACGCTTCCCGCAAATGGTCTTTCGTCGGCTCGAAACTCGACATTTTCAACGCAGTAAACAACTTGTGTACGATAACTTTTTTTCACTTTGACAGATGGAATTTTATAGTTTTTTTGACGCTCTTTAACGTGGTTATACTGTCAATGTCAAAAAAATAGCGCGTATATCAGTTACGCCATTTTTTATCAAAACGAAAAAACTAATGTATAGACCCAATACTATCAAAATCAAAATTCAATTTATCAAATAAGGAATTGAAAAAAAGAAAGATTTCAAAAAAATCCTTTTATCGTTTAACATTTATTGTATGGGAATACAGAGAATCTGCTGAAATGACCACGATTTTGTTTATTACTAGCTTTGTGAATACATTTTCATTTTGACAAGGTTTTTTCACATTTATTTTAGAATATATTTTTTTGTATTGTATTTCACTTCATTGTCACAAAGATAAACAAAACTTATCCTATGACATCTTTCACCCCTTTATGAGAACATGCGGCAACTGAATGCGATTTAAATAAGTGTATTTAGCAATTATATTTCATGTACAGACTTTCAGTTTGCACAAAATAATACATTTGAATTCACACACGGTTTTTTTTCCATATTCTTAAATATTGCATTTACTATGGAGGTTGTTTTGTTTTCTTTTAATTTGATGTTAACAACAAGAATTTTGAGATGACACATAATGTGATAAAATAAATTCGTTTACATTTTCAGGAGACTGTTCAACGCTGTATAAATCACGCAATATAAAAAAGTTGGATATAACGAGAGTTTGACATAGTTTGCATTAGAATTCATTTATATTTTAATAAAATATAGTGACATTTTGCAGATGTTCAACTTTTCATTGCTTATATAAATGGCTTTGGCGATATAACAATAATTATTAAAATTTTGAGAGGGAAAAAAACGTTTTTCTCTACAGTTTTTAGTTGGAATTTCCCGCCCCTTGTTCGAAATTTCTTTGGATTTTCCCGAGATTTGGGAAAAATTGTGGAAATTCCAAAAGAAAAATCTGTGAAAATAAAGCATTTTAATCATCAAAATTTTGCCCTGCTATGTAGCATCGTGGCATTGATTTCATTATAACAAGTGGAGACACAAGACACAAGCAACATGTGGTTCAATTAAATACACATGAAATTGTTCAATGCCTCTCTACAAGGATCACTTGTTGCGCAATCCATTTGATATTGATTTTGCTCTGCCAAAAATGATCGTCCTATTATTTTTCATTTCGAAACATTGTGCCATTCGAACTGTTTTCTTTTTCATTGGATTTGGAAAATGAAAAAATCTTTAATATATATTCGAGATTCACTTAAGCTTAATTTGACATTGCTTCATGTGTGGATTGCATACGAATTTTATTTATTTTGCAGTACTTAGCTCCCTTTGAAAAGAATTAATTATGGGGAGGGGGTGTTTTTTGTGGGGGAAGAACAAGATGATTTTTTAAGGAGAACACGAAGACACACTTTTTTTTGTTTATTTTGTTATTTGTATTGTGAAATAGAAATTAATACAAATTCATTTTCCCACATCTTATATTTCCATCCGAATTGCTTCCTGATTTGGTCCAGAATCTGGACTCGAATCAGAATTGATGTCATTGTTTGTAAAAAGAATCGATAGTTAACAAAGTTATGTTACGTGGCGAGAAATTTTTACAATTTGTCTACACACTGATTGATTTGCTGAATCAAATTTTAAAACACGTATTTCTGTGTTATTTTAATGAAATTATCACAACGAACAAGTGAGGTAATAATAACAGAAATGATAAAACTTTCATTTATCACGATTATGAAAGCATCTTAACACCAGTTAATGTCAGTTAATGTTTGGTTTATACATATTTGGAATTCAATCAATTTAATTGTAACAAAGTTCACATGTACAGAAAATATGATACGGTAAACTACAGTATTTATAGATCTTTCCAAGGTAAAACTTCAAAGCATTTGGCAAACAAGAGCCACTTACGATTCGACTTGAAGAACGTAACATTGAATAAATAATTGTTTCATTATTTTTTACCATAAAAAAACTATGCATATTGCATACACATAATTAGCCTAAAATCTTTGTTCCATTTGACATCATTTTAATATATTTCTTATTGAGGTTGTATCTTCCTATCTACTTTGTAACAATAAAACATATTGCCTTTTTGCCACCACATCAGAATTTCTGTTTGTTTTCTCTTTGTCTATGAAGAAATGTTTTGTATAAAAAAATACGATAAGCTGCGCAATATTCAATGCGGAAATTTCCACGTAAATGTTTCTAAATTTGGTTCGGTATGTTTTCCATTGATTTCAAAATTCAGAAACTTTTTCCGGTTTCCCAGAATCGCTTTTTGCGACTGTCTCGGCGTCTAATTCGGTCGGTGCGATCTTTACTGCGTCTTCGTTCTGTCGATGGACATATTGCGTCGGGTGAGCTATCAACCTTTTTCAATACAATTCGAAATGTGAAGGTATGTTTTGGTGAAGCGCTTGCCGCTCGACGCGGTGACGGCGGTTCAAATTCAGAGCTTGACGTCAAATGACTGCTCAAATACGGTGTTGAATAGTTTGGGCAAGGTCTTGGTTCAAAGATTGCAGCACATCGTTGATCGGTGCAAATAAATGCACGTGTGTTATCATTCGTCGCTGTCGATTGGCTAAAAATGGGGAAATGTTGTTTGCTTGGATCAGCGAATGGGCTACGTTGTGGTGATGTAGTACCTTGACTTTGTTGCTGTTGCTGATGCCATTTGGTCGACGAGTAGCTATATGAATCGTGACTATCACGCGAACTATAATTTGATGACGTCTGATTGAGTAACGGGCTACGTGCACGATGCGGCGTTGAGTAGTGACTGTGACTTTTCATTCCGAAATTAGATAAACAGTGCTGTTTATTTGGTTCGGATACTTGTTTCTTTGCTCGTGGCGTGGAGAAACGTGAAGAGGGTAATTCGAAGTCGAAATGTGTCTCAAGCGACGATTTTCGGCCAACATGCCCAGTTTTTTCTGAGTGCTTCTGGAATGTTTCTACATCGACGAGTTCGATGGATGATTTTCGAACATCTATTCCAGCGATTCGGTCATCGCTGTCGATAATTTCAAAGCTGCTGGTTTGATCCTCACAGCTCGTCGACTGATAACGTGAAATGTCGAAGCTTGTATGACTCGATGATGGGTAGCGACTCTCAAAACTTGATTCATGGTTTCGATCGGTGTCGATCATTTCAAAACTATCACCCGCTGAATCTAAGCGATTCAAATTCATTATTTCTGGATCGGTTTCACAAGGACTACGTAAATTTTCCAAATATGGCGAACGCGGTGGATCAAATGATGATCGACGAGATGGAGGCATGATTTCAAACGTGGGGCATTGAAGTTCCATTTTCTGTTCTCCACTGCAGGCCACATCTTTTGAACTGTTTGCGGCTTTGGCGTAGACTGGTTCGGGTTTCAAGACAAAATGTTCAAGTGCATTTTTGAGTGTATTCACCGCTTCATCGGTGAAACTGGTGGCATGCGTTAGATTGCCATTGATTGTGATTCCATCTTCTTTTATACTGTCGACACTGGTGCTGTTCTCATCCTTCCTAAAGTGACAATCATATCCAACGTCTCGAGCTGTCGAATCTTTGGTTTCATTTGTCCGTATCTGAATATTAACATTATTGTTATTGTTATTGCTATTTGATTTTCTGCTTTGACTATTAAATTGTATTGCATTTATGTCGACAATTTGAACGGGGCTTGGTGTCGAATCTTCAATCGTTTCTTCACGGATTTTCTCATGTTTGATGTATGATTCGCCAACTTTTTCAAATACCATACTGTCCAATTCGAAATTTTGAGCCTTCGAATCACTTTCCAAGCTTTCGCTAACTTCTTCGCCACTTGATTTTCTATCTTTGACGACCTTCTCGACTGTTCGTCGTAGGCGGAACGACATTTTCGAGTTCAATATTCTGTAAATAAATAATTATATTATGATATTGGGGCGACATTTTTGCATAATATCTAAAGGAGAAAATCTGAATATTTTAGGGAAATTTATGAGCTCATTCAAAAGAAAATTGACCAAAAAAGTATTAAACTTATAGCATTTGGTACTTACTTCAATGACATTTTCGATTCAAGTCCAGCCTCCGACAGTTGTTTTGTAACCGCAGTCTTTGCAGCCCCACTGGACGCCCTTGGGGCACTAGAAAATGTACTTTGACGCAAGAGGGGAGTCGCTGAGTTTGATTCGGCCCGAGAAAATGCTGCGGCAAATTTTCGTGTTGCTGCTTTCTTTGATGGCTTTCGTACAAAGGCCAATAGTTCTCGCATTACGCTGCGCTGTTCTTTACGTGGTTCAGATGGGACTTCAGTTGGTGGTTCGTCTTTAGAGGATTGTTTATTGATTGGCACACATATGTCCGATGTTGTCATTTCGAGAGATGAAGAGAAATCAAACACTTTTTCCGTAATGCCACAACTTTCTGATGGATTCGACACGGTTATCGGTGGCACGGGCAATAAAGTATTCAGTCCTATGTTAATATACAAGAAAAAAAAAAGCATGAATAAATATATTAATACCTTTCATCCTTATTGTACATTAACACTTGCACATTACCTTGTGGAAAATTGATTGGTGATCGACGTGATTGTACTTGAATCGTTGGGCTACGTCGACCATCGTCGAACCCAAGGAATACAGCTGTTGGGCTTTTTTGATCTTGAACATGCACAGTGGATGTTGGACTCCGTCTATCGAAATCACCACCAAAGCCCAATGGGCTGCGATGACCAGTGGGACTTTTATTATTTCCAGGGAACTTTGTTGTTGGGCTTTTTCTTTGCTCAAGCAAATCAAGAGGCGTTCGATTACCATCGTACATGAGAAAAACAGGAGATCTACGGCCACCCGATGGACTAATTAGCTGTTGATTTGGGCTTCTTCGGCCCGTATTTAAGGTTAAATTGTGTCCAGTGCTGTTCTTGCGCGAATGAGACGATCGCAAAGTGCCTTGGCGAGATAGGGAGAATGGACTTTTTGACGACATACTACCAGGGCTTTTGCTTTCTTGTTGAGACATCGACATAATACTGGGACTTTTTTGTGATGGACTACGTTTACGTTCGATTGTGGTATTGTTGGTTGAGCTGGAACTGAAATGTAAACCATTGCTTTGATTTATTCATTTTTTGTCAGTTTGATGTGATGCAAATGGTGTGATCAATGCCATGATGGAAATTCAAGTTTTAAAAAAAAAACTTACCCAAGACTGAATGGGATGAATGAGTTTGGACTACGGCGTTCAGATGGAGAGCGTCTAGTACGGAAGCTTTGTGATTTAGCTTTGCGGATCTTGGGCAGGTGTTTGGAATGGTGGTGATGGGAAGAGGGGCCGTTTAGCCTTTGTTAGTTGCTATGAGCGGTTCCACTGGCTGGATCACTTCCACTTGAGCTGAGTGTGGTGTTCGAGCCATATGGATCCAATGAACTTTGTACAGACATTGAGCGTCCTTGCGACGCTCTTGCCCTTCTAATACGGCTTGAATTTGGTGATAAATTGCCCGGATCCACGCTAGCCGGATCAGCCTAAAAATTTTATGCGAAACAAAAACCATCGAATTATATTGAATAATCGAAACTGATTTGATTTGACAGTACAAAAAAACACACACTAAAAGCATTTAAAAAATTTTTGTAGCAACAATTTATATCGAGCAATTCGACTAAGAATATGCGTACGAAAAAGACGAATCACTAATCACCACAAGAATCAACTAGAATCCATTTTTTGTATTTCTATTTTAACTGGTATTCAACATCCAATGCTGTTACTTTGTAAGTAATAATTTCATTCTTACATATTTTCATTCCAGAAAATCTAATTAGCTCGCATTGTCATCGGATACCTTATACAGAATTATAAACAGAGAAATTGATTGCCAGCATACATTCTTCATTTGACATTTTTTTAAAAATGAATTAGAAACGAGAAACTTGCAATGTTAAAGGTCAAGGGGAAAATCACTTCAAATCAATATCGATTTCCATTTTTCATCAATTCTGTCATTACATGTTTTCTTCATTGAATCCATTGCAATGTGTGTTTCGGTATCGTATGTTTTAGCTTTAATCGTGTGATGCTAATGTATTTTTTCTTTTGATGATTTTTTTTCATGAAATTGATGCAGAGTTTTTATTTTCAATTATTATAATTGTATTTAAACATTGAAGCAATAATTTAGTTTAGCGATTTACAGTAGTAGTATTGGGCGGTCGTTTGTGGCGTTTTATCGATATGCAGTTGTTGCTTCCATGAAGAAAGTCAACCAAGTTATTACGAGTTTTGTTTGTTCGTTGGTTCTGAATGTTTTGATTGAAGACAACGGACTTGATGTTTGTACCATTTTGTATTGATCAGCAATTTCAATGCTACAAAAGCACCGTAGGTATAGAAACAAACATTGTGTAAGATTTCATTGAATTTTATTTCATTCTTCTGTGATTTTCCCCTAGGTTAGGAAGTGCTTTGACAGCAATAATTGCAACCATTTTTATTCTAAAAAAAAGAAATGAAGCGAGCAAAAAATCAGAAGTATTTTGTTGGTTTACCTGATATGCAAGAGCGTTCATTATAATTGAATACGGTACCAAACCCAGCGGATGTATTTCTCGCATCAGAACATTCGCAGGAATTTTATGAAATTGTATATATTCCAGAAAATTCCCAACCACTTCCTTCAGCGGCACATTCTGGTAAAAAAACTGTTTACTTTTAGTGTTTAAAGTGACATTAAATGGGCCAACTGCAATTCGGTGGCGATATGCATTGTGGGCTGGCTTTTTGTCAAAATATCTGAAAGAAAAGATCACTTACCGGATTATTGTCGCAGTACTTTTTGCTCCACATTAGAGCCGCCTGGAATTTTGTAAATTCATCAGCTCTCAGTTCTTCACGAGCTAAAATTAGGCGAACCACATGCTGTGGTAGCAAAGTAAAGCTGCCCAAATTCAGCACTTCATTGCCATGCTCATCGACGAATTCGAGGACTTTTTGCACCAAACTTTTTGTGCATTTATACTGAATATAACGTTCGGCCGATGCCAAAAGTGCACAAACCGTGTCCACATTAATGCAACATTGCACAAAGCCAGCGCACGCTCGGCGCAATTCCTCCAAACCGTAGTAGTCGGCTGCGTTCATTACACCGAGTAATGTTCGCGGTTGCAATGTCACGCATCCTGTATGTATGTATTCAATCAATTGACGAAATACGTCTGGCTCAAATTCCTCAATAATCAGCGTTTGATGGGCTTGCCCAGATGGCTATTGTTTGAAAGTATGCATAAAATCAAGTGAAAAATAAAGATTAGATACTTTAGCTTGAAAACAAGGAGTCAAGTATAGCTGTGCCATATTCGTATCTTAATAACCATCCTAATAATTTTGAGAGATTATTGAGATCCGATCATAATACCGATAAATCTTAATAACGCTATCAACTTTTTATCAGGTTATTAACTATATTCAAATAATAACGTTATCGGATGAATCTTAATAATATCGTTTTGAAGTTATTAAGATCGAATCCTGATAATTTATCAACATTCAATCTTAATAACCATCAAGTTCTGGTCGATCCTGACCCAATGAGCAAAAATGTCTTGATTTAGGCCTGTTAGGATGGTGATTTTGTAACGCACTTTCTATGTAGTTTATATGGCAGCGCAGGCCTGACCAGGCCCATTATTTGTATGTCTGTAATAGACCTGAGATATGTATAATCAATGGACCAATCACATTATAAAATTACTAAAGTGGACCATATGCCTGAAATAGGCACAATTCTGTATAATAATACAATGTTAGTGAGGCCTGTATTGAGCATACTTGTATACACATTATATGCCTATGGTTAATGCATATATTTATAGTCAGAATTGCTCACTGGGGAGGGTCCACCAAAACCCACTTCCAGAACTTGATGATTATTAAGATTGAATGTTGATAAATTATCAGGATTCGATCTTGATAACTTCCAAACGATATTATTAAGATTCATCCGATAACGTTATTATTTGAATATAGTTAATATCCTGATAAAAAGTTGATAGCGTTATTAAGATTCCATCATAATAACGATATCGAACGATATTTTTAGTTTATTACGATATCTTGATAAAAAAAAATCGTGAGCACAGCTATAGAGTCAAGTGGTTGTATCACATTCCAAAAGACACAGACATCACTCACAAATGGTGAAAAGTAACAAGTTTATAACAATAAGCATGCTAGAAGTAGTAACAACACAACAGTAAAACACCTTTCAATCATTATGTCATTGAACGTGATGTTATGTGTAGGAGAAAGAGAGAGATAGATAGAGAAATCATTTCTCAGAAATGCAATGATTGGCTGTTAAGCCAAGAAATACAGAAACAGTTGACCGTATTATAGTCCCCCTTGCCTGACTAGGTGTTTTATATACTACTTAGATGGTGCTTTCTCCGACTCGTGATTATGTCTACATTTCAAATATTACCACGAACAATATATTTGCAAAGGAGGCTTCGCATTGATGCATCAAAGATATTAGAAAATATCTAACTTTCTATAGTCAAAACAGAGAAACAGCTAAAGCATGAAACTAAGCTGAATAGAATCAAACAGTGGTGGGTTTCTATTCAGAAAACTAACGTGTTTCAAAATGTGTACGGAGCAAATGTTAATTGTTGATCATACTTCAGAATAAAAGAGAACTGTTTTCGCACGTGCATGAAGTGTTTCAATTTCAATAACAAAAACTATGTGAAAGATTCTTTTCTCAGAGACTTCTATTTCCAACTTTATTTTTAGTTTCATTTTTCTTGAAAATCGTTGAATGTGAAGATTATTGTTTCCATCAATGGGAAAAATTGATTACTCGACCAATAATTGAAAGTATTGCCATTCACAACTGCATCAAGGCGTAAATAGCTTTTGCTTGAAATAGTTAGTACATGTCTGTAAGAAAATTATTGCCACATGTGCAGAAGAGTCAAACAATTCGCTTTTTCCTGAAGCTATCCAGCAATTCGGTTACAATATAAATTGCAGATTAATGTCAAATTGAAAATGTAAAGTCAACAATTATTCTAAAAATCAAAGTGAAAAAAGAGAGAGAGAGAGAGAGAAAGAGAAAGAGAGACAAATAGCTTATCTACTTCGAAGTAAGAGTTAACTCGAATGAATTGAAATGATGACAGATTTCGAGAATTATAATAAGATGTTTCCATCTTCATTTACCTCTGGTATTGGAGCCAATTGTTGGCTGAACCCACTTCTCTATAAAGCACATACATAAAATTTACACCCATTTTAAATATAATTTTTGTTTTGGTTTTTGGTTTTTGATGTTAGTTGAGTTTATGTTGTATCAGTTATGTAAATCGATCGAACATAAAATATGTAGAAATAATAAACAATATACTGAAAACATTAGGGCTTCGCAAGGGTATATGAAGCAATATTTAAGAAAAATTAACATGTTCATACCACAAAATGATAATTTAAAATCTACACAAATGTATGAACCACTTCTGATATTGATTGAAAATTACGGAAACGATTTTTTTTTTCAAGATTAAACGGTAAATGAATCGAACTAACGGAATTGAAAGTAAATCGAACCAAATTAGAAAAAGAAAACAGATATCAACACCATTGAAGATTGCGATAACTGGAATATTCTTCGAAACTCATTTAAATTATGAACTCGAATTGTGGACATATGTGCGTAGATATACGATTTGCATAATTTTCCCAAATGTTGGATTTATTTGCAACATTTGAAAATTAAATTGAGTTAAAATTTAAGGTGACATTAAATATATTAACAGAAATATATTTGAAAAATTGGCGGGATGATTCACGAAATATATACAATATTCAATAATTTTACTTTATTTCTCAATTATTATAGGTGAACGAAAGTACATAGATTGCTAAAATAATATATATGGAACGGAATCCACTGTCCATAAATAATCTGAGAGAATTATTGCAAAACATATTCCCACACGAATCAGAAATAGTGTTGAATTCATTTTTGAAAAAGCAAAAACAAAAGAGATTTCGTAAAAATCGTTAGATTTGTTGAGTGCTATTGAAGACAAATTACCTGTTGCGCTGCATTCTGTAGATTCAAAAGAGGTTCCGATGAACGCTTTAGAAAAAGTCGCAGTTTATTTTCCCGTGGTGGTGGTTCCTTCTTTCTTTGTGGCGATGGAGCTTGATACAACATTTTTTGGAAAACTCGAGATCGAGACGCAAGCACCGCCTAAATGATAGCAACAAAATGACGCCCGAATATTTAATTTTTCAAAGATTCTAACGATTCAAACAAATCTGATGTACATACTTTTACTGCGCAAACGGGTTCACGAGTATCACCGACGAGGAACGTTACATCGCATAGTTCTGGCATTGATGCTAAGAATTTCATATCTTCAGCCAGTCCCGTTTTATTCTCGAATGTTGACAAATCTGGCTCCGCATCGGCCATACTGGATAAACTAAGAACTTCAGGCATTTTGATACTCTCGACTTCCTCTTTCTATTCTTAAAATAAAGCTATCTGGAAAATTAGATTAGGATGGGTGTTTTCATTAATTTTCGAACAAAGCCTTGCTAAAATACACACACACACACACACACACACCTATACAATATCATTATATTTTGTAAGGTTCTAACTTCATAGCATTACAATTTCAAAGTACGTGATGGACTTTTTAAAACATGAATGCGGAATGGAGGAGGGGGGGGGGGGGAGGGGGCATATCATATATTAATTGGACCGTGAGTGAAAGTGTGTGGATGGTTGAAATACGGTACACTCCTATCTGAAAATGGTGATTAAAAGTCTGCGATGGTAGAAAATGTGAATACAACACACCGTAGTCAATTTTTATACACTGCACGAATGCAGTTCGCAGTTCATTTTAAATAAATGCTTTGAAGTATTCCACATTGAAGGTCACACCCCAACACGGTCATGCATCAATGGATTCATTTATACAATTTTGACGCTTTTTAAATGGTTGACAGACAGCGTTTGGAGCTAATTGGTCTTACACATAGACGGAACCAATTTCAAAAGCGGTGAAATAAATTAACTAAGCATCTCTTCAAAATACGAACTGAATTTTTAAATTTGCTATGGAGGTAGGCTACTCAGAATAGGAGGTAGATGACTGTTCTTGGAACAATAGTGTCATACAATGAAGATGGGAAAACTAAAGGTTTCGGGTCATTTGTGGAGTTGAAGCTTTCTATGCATTAAAATGATTTATTTTCAAAGTTTTATATAAATGCCCTTGTAAAAAGTGGGAAAAAGCTTTCTGGTCAAATTGTGTCACATTGAATGAAAATTAAACATCGTTGTTTAGTTCCAACTTGGAACTTGATTTATTAAAGGCAATTATCATTAGACGATACCAATAAATGTAAGAAAATGAGCAAAAAATATAAATGAATAAGGTCATACCTAATTTGTCAACTAAAATCCTGTTTTGTCAAAATGTTTGCTTCGAAGGCAGTTGAAACTGTTTATTGAAATTGTTCGTTATGTTTTAGTCGATTTTTCATTCGATAACGTTTTTTGCTGATAAATTCTGGAAGTGTGACAATCGATGACAATGCATGAGATCAGTCTAAGTATGATTTTACAAATTTTCCAGTTTTGCCAAGAAAACAGTGTCGTCTAGTATTCTATTTGTGATTTACAGCAATATTTTCAAATCATGTCATAAAACATCGCGAAATCAAATTGTGAAAACAGTGAACAACTGTAAGGTACTGCGTGGTCTACTATTCAATGTGCGTTTTTGTCAAACTCGTTAAACTCTTATTTCAATTCGTATGAGTTGTTTTCACTAATCTTTGTATTAATTTTTGTTTTACATCCTTCAGGCACTTGGCGAACACTTAACTCAATCAACCAGCACTGTACAACGTGTAAATCAACAACTATTTGCTTTTGAATTTTTCAATTTTCCACTCAATTGGCACACGTTTTGAATTTTTAAAGATTTTTTTTTCTAATTTAATATATTAAATTGATACGTTCTCGAATCAGGGCGAATGAATGAGTGAGTTTGTCTAAGAAATTCACTTTGAAAATTAAATGTTACTCGCTACTACTGTGTCCAAAGCTGTTTTCACTTGTTACATCTACTTTTTTTTCTATTTCTCGACAACTTAAAAAAAGATGTGTGCGAATGCTCGTGTTTCCCGCATCTAAGTGTATGCGTGTATGGATATAGTGTAGTTCGTCACCATCAGAAAGCTTTTGATTCAGTGTTTAAGCTAGCTGTGAAGCGAGGCGTCTAATTCATTTATGAACTGGGAATGTGTGTTTGTGTGAAGTGTCCTTTATTATTAGAGTCCGTGTATATTTCGTATGATAGCGCGCATAAGCAGGATCCAGTTCTAGTTTCTCTTGAGAGAATACGCGTTTATTTTTATTGCCTCAGCGCATCGCATTTGATATGTTCATCACGTATACAAACACATTCAAATCTTGCGAGAGTTAACGGTGCCCCAAGAAAATCATTTAACAAGTGTTCTAGTCGGTGCCTCGGATTAGTGCGCATGTCACGAAAATCCTTTCAATACAATAAATATACACACTACCCTGCAAAAGTTTCGGATCATCAGCCAGCTTTCATACGAAATACCGTTTTTTTTTCTGCGATGTTGGCAAACAAACTTGAAATTTAATGGGGCTTTGCCCCCATTGGATTTGCATGTAGAGACCACCAGTATGAAAATCATTTTCAGAAAATGAAAACCAGTTCAATAGTATAAAAGTGCATATTTACTTCCGACCACAGAGTAACAGAGTTTACTATCATCCGAAAAATACCACATTTTCGGGACTTTTCGAGTATTAAATTGGTTATTTGCATGAACGATACCTTGTAGGAAAAGTGGCTGCTGGCCTCAAGCTTTTGCACGGTAGTGTACATATATAATATATATACCTATACTATACATATATATTAAAATGATTGATTGATTTTTCATGTACACGTCGTAGAAGGTGCGACACCACAGTTTCATACAAACTGAAAGTCCGTTTCATATGAAAAATAAAAGAAAAAAAAACTACTGATAAAGTTGAAGTATTTTGATCCACATAAGTTAGACAAATGATTGTAACAATACGATCGTTTTCGAACCTGTTGCAAATGAATATGTCCATTGTTCCATTCGTCGTCGTCTCCTTGTGCCTTCGACATCCATTTTCCCCTCTCTTTGTCCACATTTTTCAGTTCAATGAATACAGATTACGGTTGAATCAACAGCTCGTGCTAGCCTTCTGTTCGATTCATTAAAACGTGCTCATTACATAGCTATACAAAATCAAAAGAGTGTGAAAATGTATGAGAATACAGAAGGGAGTTGTGTATTTTATTGGTGTGATCCAATTTTTCCGCAAGAAGAAAGACTCTGCTATAAAATGCAATTAAATTAAATGTAAAATATTGAAACTAATTTGAATCGATATGAGTCATCCGAGTTGGAAATCCGATGCTTTAAATGCCATGTAATATACATGAAGTCATCATTGATTTTTAAAAATTCTTTCGTGGGTAGGAGTTGAGTGTGTACAAAACATTAGACATTTGAACGTAGTCTGTCTCTCCCTCTCTGCTTATCACCCACTCTTTTTTTCTCTCTATGGAAAATTTGTGGAATAAAACAACTTTTCATATTTTCTCATCAATTTTATTAATTTTCCAAACATCATTTTCATTCGATTGGAAAATGTGTCTTATTGAGTACTTCATTTTTTTATATATATTTCCATTTGATGATTCTAAACGATCGGTAATCGTTTGTTGATAGATCATAGTAAATTTAAGTAATATTCTCGGATGCGTAAATTAAAATAAAAAAAATAGGCGAATCAATTTATATGTTTAATCGTGCCTCATCATCTGTTCTGTCCGAATAAAATATCTAGTTTCCTTCAATAATTAGCATCAAAATGAAACAAGTTCGAAAAAGAAACACACAATTATAATTCAAATAGCATTTTTCATTTGTTTTTTTTTTCTTTCTTCATAATCTAATGGGGGTTCTATTTTGATAATTATTGGCGTAAATATTTTTTCATATATTCAATACACATAATAGCATATTTTGTGCTGCGCGCATAGTGAAAGGATTTAGGAAGCGCTGTTTCATTCTTGAGAAGCAAAACAAAATCGGTTTGTTTTTTTGTTGTTTAGCTTATCAGGAATTCGATGCCAAGCAGTGCGTTTCTAAAAATGACATATGAATAGAGATAATTTTTTTTACATCGTATGATTAAAACTAATTCCATCGATATATTGTTTTTTTCTTCCTCTATTGAAATTCTTCGTAACAACTGACTACTACTGCTTACGTTTATTTATGATTCGCTTTTTGTAGCGAGACACGAAATTCCCATTATGAACTTGAATATAGTTTTTAATTTCCATGAAAAAGGCACTTGAAATATTCATCGGCAAGCGTGGGAATATCGGATAATGGTGACAAGAAAAGTGGAAATTTTAAAATCCATTGTTGGCCATTGTGATGTTGATCCATTTAATTGGAATTGAAACGAATTTCATTTTAATTTAAAATTTCAACAATTCAATACACAACAAAATAAATGTATGTGATAAACAACGGAATTTCGAATCTTGTTGTTCAAATGAAATGAAGAAAAAAAACTGTTATCGATATGATTGGATTCAAATGATATGCTGTTAAAGTACTTTGTTTTACGGTCGATTTTTCATACTTGTATTTGATTTTTCTTGTCTAAGTTGTATTAAATGCACGTATGTCGTAGTCGGTGCATACAAACAATTTGATGAAATTTTGGCCGAAACTCTTAAAATATAAAACAATTTAATTTTTTTTTTCCTTTCAAATATCATTCGTCTGACATTTGATTTTGATGCGTATAGTGGATAAAAAAAAGAAACTAATTCATAATTTTGATTTCACTTCTATTTCGAAGTTCATTACCACAATTCGATTTTGATTTTCTGCATGCACTAGCGCATACTGCCTTTGTTTACCAATGGTGAAATACATAAAACAAAGAAAAAATAATAAATTAATCATTGATATTTAAACTTATCAGTTCTGTTAGCATTTAATCGACAACCGAACGTATGAACTAACTGATTTTCATTAATTGTCTTCCTATTCGATTACAATAATAATCACTGTTTGGAATGCATATTAAATAAGTACAAAATCTTTCTCATCTTAATAAATAATATTTTAAAAGATTCTTTCTATTATATATATATATATCGATCTTACATAAATAAATTGTATAGGAAAACATTTTCAGTAGATTTCACCATCGCGTAATGTAACGTTTTGGCCCATTTTCGTGGTAATTTCAGTGTTATATTTAACGTGGATTATGTGCATGGTTCCCAATAAAATGACACCTTCCAATGAAATATTTTAACGCAATGCATATTATTCAAAATGTAACAAATAACGGACGGTTCACATTATGCTCGCTCCATTCTACACAGACCGTACAGCAGATATACAAACACGAAAGAAAGAATGTGAGAATGAACCGCATACAGAAAGAACAATCAAGTAACATAGCTATGTGTACTGTTGCTCTCGTGTATCCTCTGTTGCTTCTCCGCTTCGTTCGTTTCATTCTTGTGTGTGTGCTGGAGCAAGAATATTTTCATAACAAATCGAAGTCTGACTGTGGCGATCGAATTGACAGCTCTCACTGTTTCTGCGTGAAGAACAGTGCAGTTTTTGTGTTCTGAATTTCATAACGATGCAAAATATCTATTTTGAGTCGAATTCAGACGAGATTTTGAGTGTTCATCAACACATTTTTCTGGATTGTGCTGTTGTATTAGTTTTGCATTTAATTCGGTTGTGATTTTTGACTAACAGGACATTTGCAAAACGACAAGAGCACAATATTCGAAATTCAGCATTGCATGGTCAGTTTGGTGTCAGAATTCGTTGAGGCAAGTTGATTGTTGTATTGATGGTTCATTGATTGTTTCTCCAAAACAAATTGTTAATTTAGTCAGTGTTTGATCGAAAGTGCAATAATTCTAATCAATTTGTTCACCATTTTCATTTTCATTTTCATTAGATCAAATTTGGTGAGCATGAAGAGAAAGCGGGCCCAGAACGGGCGACCGAGATCGGTCAAACTATCGCTGAATTCGGTTCTCCGGGATCAATATCGCGCGAATTTTGTGGCACAAGTCACCAATTGGTGCCACACAGCCACCGTCATCACCGTTTTGGCGTCATTGTTGTTTCTCTTCGAGAACAACCGAGCATTCGATGAAGATAACCATGACTTCTTCAGAGGCAATGGATACGAATTGATCAAGGATTGCTTCAAGAACATTTTGAACGAGAACCGACACAAATTGCCGTTGGCCTTCCGCCAAATAATCGAAACAGCAGTGCCAAACTTCCGATGGCCACAACGTGAAGGCATGGGAAACGCATTCAATCAGCTCATTGATCAATACACCACCAATGTCAAGAACAACATCAAAACGTGGTGCTACACCCGTATCAAAACGTTTTTCGTGCTGCAACGGTATGAGCTCAATTTGCTTGGCCATAACATCAGCGACATCGATGTGAAAAATGCCACCAAATCAGTTATGTTCAACAATATAGTACCAAGTGCGAATGTGGTGCGGCTGCTCGAGCAAGCGCGTATGATCGGAATACCAGTCGGTACGAAGTTATGTGATCTCGTCCGTGGTAGTTGGTTCCAGACAATACCGATATTCATCACCATTCAACGGCTAGTGTTCAACCACCATGAAAGATACGAGCTCTTGAATGATCTCTGGCGCCGATATTATCGGGATCGATTACACAACGCCATGCCATCCATTGCACGCCCACCGAAAATAAAAAACTTTCGTGTAATTCCGATTCATGACTTCAAGATGAAGCACATCCGGATCGATATTCACCTGTTCTATCAAATGGCGCGCAAATTGGGTGCCATCAAGTTGGCAAAAGGATTGTTTGGCCAGCCGGTTAACATTTCGAAAAAGGTCTACGACAGCAATCCATTTGTGTCCTGGGACACAATATTCAACATGGACAAGATTCAGAAAGTCGGCAATCGCAAGACATTTGACTACACAATCGTGACGGATAGTGTGGCTGTTTCGTTGTGTTTCCTGAAGCCAGAATGCCCCTCACACGAATATTCGCACGAGCAAATCAACGAAATGTACGAAAATGGTGTTTTCCGCTTCGTGCTTGGCATGGATCCTGGTGTGCGAACCTGGAATGTCACGGTGCGAAAACATATCGCATCCGGTGTGGAAGTGAGTAACAATGATTTGTTTGTTTGTTTTGTCAGTCATTTCATTTATATGCATATAATCATGATTCTTTGTTCTTTTTTCTTATTTTTCTTTTTTGATTTGTTTGTTTGTTTTGTCAGTCATTTCTTTTATATGCATATAATCATGATTCTTTGTTCTTATTTATTTCACACAGGAAAACATCACGATCGACGGTCCGAAATACCATTTTCGAGCGAAATATGGCAAACGAAAGCGCCAATCGGAAAAATGGCTACGATTGTTCACCGAATTGGAGCAACATGACCGAAATCAATATCCATTCTATCCATCGCCCAAGGGAGCCTCAAATTGGATGAGTTACATCGAACATCGTGTGAAAATGTTGCAGCCTGGAATGGAGGTTTACACAGCACGCAAATACATTCGCCTCAATCTCGATAAACATATCGAGGAGACCCGTGCAAGTGATACCATCGCTGCTTTTTTGACCAGAAAATTGCCATCGCTCATTTTCCTTGGTGCAGCTCAAATGGCTCCAAATTCGCCAATTGGTATTAAGAAACGGTTGCGGTGCCCTGGTACGGAGTACGGAAACTACTGAACAGCTTCAAGAAACTGCACAATTGTGTGGTGGTGATGGTTGACGAGTACAAAACATCGCAGACGTGTGCAAAGTGCTTTCGGCCATTTGATCGACGTACAAAAAAGGACCGCTACAAAGTCTGCCGTCAGTGCATTCCACATGCAGCAAACATCACGACTGACAAACACCTGAGCAGTGTGATCATCAGCAAGAAAAGCAACCGGTCGTATCAACGAGAGCGACGACATGTTGTTGCGGAATATGAACGATTGAATGTACATCCAGTGTATTCACATGGTTTAGTGCCGAAACTCAATGTATGGTTCAAAAACTGGCAGCTAAACACTGATAACACATGGAACGATTCACGTCATCCACATCAACAGAACACTGTTTGGCATCGGGATGAAGTCGCTGCCAAGTGCATATTGTACAAAGGTATGTATCATACATTGAAAAAAAAAGTGAAATATTCTGGCTAACAATTGTTGTTTGTGATTTCGGTTGTTTCAGGTCTTTGTATGATAAAGGGCTTGGATGTGCATCCGCAACTGTCGAGACAACATCATGCAGTAGCTGCAGCCGCGCAGAACAATGCCGAAGGCGACCAAGATGACAACGATAGCGACAGCGACGATGATTACGTTTACGTTCTCGACGACGTGTCCGATGAAGAATAGTTTTTAGTTGATGTAGGATTAAGTTTTCAAACAATAATAATTGTAACTTTTTGTTACTTTGCTGGGCTTTGAGTATTGTGGCCTTGTCCGAAGTACGGGGCTTAGTCGGATCATATAAAATACCTCGTAGGTGAGTATCACTATTCATTAGCATATTGAATATTGATTCATAATCGTTTTTATATCATTCTAATTGATTTGTTTTTACTGTTCTTTTTCTACTTCCATTGTGACGTTAAAAATGACTGAAACTACACCCAAATGTGGGCCCAAATTCAACCGTTTACATACGCTTGGCAATGGATGTATTTGCGTTAACAATTGTTCCTTGGGACATAATGGCTAGAACAAGTTATACTACTCGAAAACAGCGTTATGTGTATGCATTTCCATTCAGATCTAAAAGACTTGTGCAATTTGATTTGATTGGGTTTTCTGTTTTTTTTTGTGTGTGTGTGTGTATGTGGGAACGAAATTGATTTGATAAATTTATCAAAGAATAGAATTCTTTTTTTTTGGTGACATTTTAAAATGTGGAAATGTCCATTGGAATACAAAAAACAAATTCTCTTCAAAAAGTGTGTGCACAAAATGGAAATCACATAGAATCTTCTAAGAGACGCTGCTGATCGACGATTGATATGATAATAATCACTATAGTGATATATATTCAGAGGGGACATTTTATTTGATACACTTTTTTTTTTAAAAATATAGTGTAAGTTTTTTTTTGCTTTCAAGATCGATAAATGTTCTTCATTATTTTTATTCAGTGATGTCCAATATCGAACTCGGATATTGTGCATCAGCATCGTAAGTAAATCTGCTCTGTTTTGAACTGTACGGATATATGTGATAGTTTCTTTCAATAAAACCTGGAATGTATACATAAATTTATGCTACTTAACACATGATTTTTGTGATTAATTGGAAAAATAAAAGCGGAAACAAAAACTATTCAAAGCCATACTTCATCTAGCTTACTCAATCTTGTCCTAATTGTGATATTTTTTTTCTTCTTGTATTTACAATTAATTTCGACCATTTTGAAACTTATCATTCTCATGATTATGATTATTTGAAAATTGAATTCTAAAAATGTTTATTGCAAATGCCTTGTGTAACAAATTGAATTTGAAATGTACTTTTATCTCTTTTGACATATCTCCATGAGATGTTGAAATATCACATTTGTGTTTTTTGTGTTTTTTTTTTCTTTCAAGAAAAGATTTATTTCAACATGTTTTTTCTGGGTGTATTTCGATTTTTTCTGGTTTTCAATAGATATATTTGTTGTTGTTGTTGTTGTTGTTGTCAACCTGTGTCTTGGGTTTGATGCATTTTTGTTTGCCAAACATTAAAATTGTCGCCTATCAAGGTTTATAATTTGCTACGATCAAAATTCTCCAAACGCCATTTTTGTGATTCTTTCGTTATATTGCACTCTTCCATGATGACTTTATCTTTTGACTCAATTATCGCCAAGCATTTTTCGGACGAGCCATGCCGAATTTGTTTCGTGTTTGAGTCATATGACCAAAGCTTTAAATAAAAAGGTTGAGGAAAAAACGAAAAAAAAAGTTAGAAAAAAATATGATAATTCCATCGAGAATTAATTGATATTGAAAAAAAAATCCGCTGGTTACCTGATTGCCTTTAGATCCATGACACGGATACAGGACCACGTCATTTCCGGAATAGTCCAGACACGCCTCATCTCGCCGAATTTCGCCAGCTTTGCTCAACATCCAGTACTTTATCAAATTTGAATCACAAAACCGAAATTGAAAATGGTTAGCTTTTATTTGTCTACTTTATTTTTCGATCGACACGATCTTCCAAATGAAAAATTGCTTTCAATTAACAAAAAAAAAATCTAAAACAACACTTTCAATTTGAAAAAAATCGTCCAATCATCAGTATTAATGATTTTTTTTCTTCAAACATTGTATTTCATCACAAGCATGGAATAGAAAAAAGATGATGTACTTAGCCGCCGCCGAGTCCAGAAATCAATCAATTTGTTATGTTATCGTTAGATTATAAATTTATAAGTATTATCATCCTTCAACCGCTTTCCATAATCGTAGGACATGCACTCAAGTGTTGTGAGATGTATTAACAAATTTAGTTTTGATGGGGAGTAGCAGTAAGGAGAAGAATATTCAAGCGAGTGAAACATTGTAAACGCAACCATTGCCGAAGGTTCATCGGGAAGTTAAAATAAGAGGTCGCAAAGAGAGAGAAATATTAAGCTTAAGATAGAAAAAGAGAGAGAGAGAGAGAAGGAGGGATGCCCACAAAAGGAACGAAGTCGCTGAATTTACTTTTATTCCCGCAACCACACCTTGGATTTGAATAAAGTAAGCAAGTACCAAGTACCTCCTATGCACAGTATCTGTGGCTTCCAGAATAAATAATGATGAAATTGGTTTTATTTAAAATGTTTTTATCATGAGTATCTTAATCATTTTATATGGAAGGCTTGATGAGTTAAAGCAAATAAGCGACATAAAAATGCAAATAAATTCTCTTCATAATTGTTTTCGTTTTTTGATCTTTTGTGTGTGTGTGGTAAAATTGTACCTGATTTCCACCTTGATTGTGACAAGGCCACAAACCAATTTCTAAATGCATGTCCTCCGGTTTACAGGCTGAATCGATGCACATTTCAGACCAAATATTCGCTATCTATAAAATATTAACAATCGAAGAAATTTATTTTTGTGTCTCTTGCAAGTTTAATATAGCACCAACGAAGTAGGAGAAAAATGCCAACAATATTGGCGTCGAAATTCCTCAACTTCATTTTGACAGACTATGAGTTTGTTGAAATGGAAGTGTTTTAAAAAAAAAATCAACATTTATTTCAGTGGAATTGAGTGAGTGGTCGTCCAGTTTTGGATTGATTTCTGATTCGATCGGTAGCATCACATCGGTTTCTTCAATGCAAATGCCTAAATTATTAACCTGATTTCCGCCTTGGTTGTGACACGGATATAATCCGACAGCTTTTTTCAAATCCTTCTTACGAGCCGGCGAATCCAAACATGTACGACCACCATAACCTAAATTCTTTATCTATACACAAGACCAGAACCAAAAACAAAATTTACTCAAATTTCCTTTTTGGCATTTTTTTCATTCAAATTCGTCGGTTTTTGTTCCAATTCAATTGAAATGACAAATATATTGAGATTCATTTCATTTTCCTGCAATAGATGAAAAGAGAAAACAAGAAAATCGATGTTACCTCGCCAGAAGCGACAGCTTCGCCTGGAATAAATAGCTCTGGATAGATGTTATCCAAATACCACTTGAAACTTTTGCAGCCCAATTTGTCTCTGCAAATGACAACAATTCATGAATTTTCATTTTTTGCGCATCATCATCACGTTTTGAATTTACGAACCGTAATTTTTTCCGATCGGATACATCGCCATAGTCTCCTTTTTCATTACCAATTCTTTGATAATAATATTGTGCATAGTCATCTAACCATACTTCAGCCAAACGAACGGAATTTCGTTTTAAAACGTTCACACCAGAACGCCACTAAAAGAAACAATTATTCATGAAATTAAGTGGACTAAAATGTTGAACACAGCAATACTCATACCTTATACGGGGATCTTTTACGGAAAATGTGTCCCTATTTAATTAAAAAATATATTATATCGAATATATCATCATTATCTTATTCATATAAAAATAAATTTTACCACATGTGAACAGGGGACTATCTCCAATGTGCCTCCGCACATCCACGACTTGAACGACAATTCCAGATTTTCGCCGCCCCAAATATCAAAATGTGGATCGTAGTAGCCCAATCGTTCAAAGAATTTGCGATCAATTGCAAAAAGTCCACCAGCCATCGTCGGTGAATAGACTGGTTCGGCCGAGCTCTGAATATAAATTTAAAATTGAAATTCTGTATTAATTTTCAAAAATTGGTATAGGATATTGTTGACGCAACATCCATTCCGGACAACCAGAAGCAATATCGAGAAGTTCTTTCAGTTTCTTTTATCGATGATCACGTTGTTAATTAACCTACTAAGCCGAGATGTTAAACTGGGCCTGGAACTTTGCATACATTTTTTTATTGGCCAAAATTATTCCGTAGCAATGAAACAACAATACAGAACAAATTGAAAAGCTGCTAAATTAAAAGCGTTGCTGTGGTAACTTCAACGTTAATCACATGGAGGTTATTCTGCAGTAATGATCAACATTCGATAGAAAAAAGTACGAACAAAAGTACAGATTTAATTATTCATTGAAAGTAAATGCAAAGTTGAGTGAATCAAAAAAAAAAGTTCCCAGATTGAATGAAAGGTGTAGGGAAAAGGGCAAACAAGAAATAAATGAATAAGAAGAAGAAGAAGAGAGCTGAGATTTCGGTCGAAATGGTTGATCGTGCTCGCTATGGTTGTCGTCAAACAGAATCTAATTTTCAATGGTCGGCATCGTTTTCGACCCGTTTGAATAACGAAAAAAAACGACTCAGTGAAACCAGTCACATCGAACGAAAGCAATTACTGGGCAAATTGAGAGCATTTTAAAACTAAACAAAATGTTACCTTATGCCGTTTACGTTCACGTTCAGGTACTGCATGCCAGTTAAATTGTAAATTCCAATCAAAACCACCAACATTAACACCTCCCGAATCTCGATAATGATATTCCATTGTTGTATCGTCAATTACATCAATAACTGGACATACAACGGTTGTTGAATTCCTGAAGAAGAAAAAAACGAGAGGGAAGGAGAGAAGAACGACGAAGTGAATGTTAGTTCTTTCATTTCGTTATAGTTACACTAAAATATCCGCACATACCTAGCAATCCTATCCAGAAGAGGCTCGATCCACCCTACGAAAACCAAAACGGTAAATTATAGAAAGGAACATCGTGACGAATTTTAGTTGGACAAACATAACACAATGCATCAACACAATTGAATGGTTTGGAGCGAAAATGTAATACAGAAAAGTTGCGTGGAAAAATGTCGATGATGAATGAGCGGAAAAGGGATAGCTATCCCTTTTCATTTGACATTTTTCCGCTCAACTTTTCTGTAATACAGAAAAGTTGCGTGGAAAAATGTCGATGATGAATGAGCGGAAAAGGGATAGCTATCCCTTTTCATTTGACATTTTTCCGCTCAACTTTTCTGTATTACATTTTCGCTGCAAACCATCCAATTAATGTGTTGACAAGGCACTTATTGTCATAACAAAGCATTTAATATTCTGAATTGGAACATCTCAAACAAAAAAGTCAGTAAATCGAAGTGCCCGTCTATTAGTGACCTTAAAAGTGGCAATAGTCTGTGTATTCTTTTTTTTCTAGACAAACAATATTGATATTCACAACTTGATTTTTTTTTTGTTTAAATCGAAACAAAGAAACACGTCTTTTATGTTTTTCCTGTTTCACGTCTTTTATGTTATATTTTGACATAATTCTTAAATTCCGTGAACATTTTTATATCTTTCAAATCGATTCATCCGGAGAATTTAAATGTATTTCACGTGAAAACGCGTTATTTTACGATTAAATTTGCATACAAAAACAAACGCTATGGATATTTTTACGGTTAAGTCATCAAGAGAGCTATTAACTCAGGGACATTTCGAATGAAAATGAATTTGCAAAAAAAAAAATAAACAGGTAGAAATACGCTCATCCAAGCCAAAATAGAAATATTTGACATTATACGTACCCATAGTACATTCACAATGACTATCAAGATAAGTTAACACAGGTGCTGTGGCATACTTAGCGCCGAGCAGACGTGCCCTTATTAAACCCTCACGTTTCTTGGCACGAATGATTTTAACCTTTGGGTTCGATGCAAAATAGTCGTCCAATTGTTTTTTGGTATGTGCTATCGAAAGAAAAAGAAGAAAAAAACGAAAAGAGATATGATTGATTTTTTGTTGTTGTTTTCAATTGTCTTTCACACCCGAGCCCGTGACACGTTCATGTAAACGAGAGCAAACAAGTACGACATGTATCACTTGTATGGATCTCTACGATTAATGGCAATCGTTGACGTTCCAAAACAACGACGGTTGAAACGCCTGCGAACATATGACGGGCCCAGGTGGGTCATAATAATTTATTCGCATGATTTTGCAAATTTGTTAATGTTTAAATCAGTACCACTGACTCTTATAACTAGTGTTTCTTTTTTTAATTTGTCGATATCATTCATTAAAGAAAGGAAACATTAGAAAAACAAAACTCCATTCATAATTCTCATACATTGATACGTTGTCACTTTCTATTACTGAATTGAAAGAAGACCATAACGTGATAATTATAATTATAGATTATGATTGTTGTTTCATTCATATTTATATGTTGTAGCACAAATCGTACGGTTAATATTTTCTTGCACGAAATTTAATGGGTTTTTGATTATCGAAAACGATATAATTACACACTTTCGAATATGTTTGAAAAATTACTTACGCATATCGGAGTAATCATCAACTAAAATAATGTGACCAATTAAATGAGCTGGCGAACGATCCAGTACGGAATGAACAGTTCGCAATAGCACAGACCATGCCTCATTATGAAAACAAATAATAATATCAGTCGGTGGAAGATCGTCTAGGTAACGGCCTTTTTCTTTGCACCTGTGAGAGAGAGAGAGAGAGAGAGAGAGAGAGAGAGAGAGAGAGAGAGAG